TCCACAACGACGAATATCTAGTAGTGTAAATATTTGTTTTATCTTTATTTTATTTCTTTTCTTTATATTATTTCTTTTATTTATTAAAGTCAGGATCAAGTGTAAGAAGTTCAGTAGGTGGAGATAGTACAGATGAAATAATGACTGATGTAAAAAATCCACTTGGTTTAAATCAAGCTGAAATTCTTGCTGGACTTGCTCTTGAACTTTCGCGACAATCAAAAAAAATTATTAATAAAATTAGTAAAGTACCATTTAAGATTAAAATTGGTTTTCATTCTGGTCCAGCAGTTGGAGGAATTGTTGGACATAAAAATTATCAATATTGTCTTTTTGGCGATACTATTAATACGGTATTTATTTAATAGAAAAATAATCGATCTGAACTTTTTTTTTGAAATTTATTTTTAAAAAGGCAAGTCGAGTGACAACAACAAGTGAAGTAAATATTTATATTTTTCTAAAACTTAAATTAATTTTTCCTTATAATAATTTAGGTAGGCCGTGTTCATTTAAGTGTAGCATCATGGGAATTATTGAAAGATTCAATATATTTTGAAACAAGTCCTCGAGGAAAAATTCATATGAAGGTTTACTATTAAATACTAATTTTTATATTTAAATGAATTTTATTTAAAATTTAGGGTAAAGGAGAAATGCAAACATTTTGGTTAAGTGGAACAAAAGATGCATATATTGAATATGCAGCTATGTTAGAATCAAAAAGTGAAATTCTTGATAATGATAGATTATCTGATTATCATCCAGCAATGTATGAAATAAATTCTCGATCAAAACCTCTTCTCAATGTTATTAATAAATTACCTTCTTCAACTGGTCAATGTCCATTTAGTGGGATGAATGCATCGACATTTATTTAAATTTGCAAAAACAATATTAAGAATATTATATGATAAATATTGTACTTTGTTAATTGTTGTGTTGTTTCATTTGAATATTAATTGTTTGTAAAGTATAAACATAAGAAAAATAAATCGAAATGATTATATTTTGTCTTTTTTTTCTCAAGAAATTATCATCAAGAGTATATATAAAAATCTATCTATCTTTTATTATTTGTCTAATGAGAAATTTTATCGAAATCAATGGTTCATATAGGAATTTAATATTGTGTTTGTATGAAAGTATTTTTTGGTTGCTTATAAAAATACGAAAAGCAGAAGAACTAGAAGCACTGTTCTAGATGCTCAAAATTTAAATCATAAGATTAATGCAAAAATTGGTGGTGTATTATGAAGTTCTGTAGGTGTTCGTGTCAGAACGTTTTGAAATCTGTGCGGACTATAAGAGAGATTTTGAGTGTTAGTGTTGAAGGGGTTCATTTTTCAGTCTTTGTTAACGATTAATTTTTTCTAAGAGTCGAGCAAAGTGGATGTTCGTGAACATAACTTTCCAAGTTGTGGGTGTTCGCATAAATTATTAATACCCCGCTTTTATTAACGCGAACAACTGAACAATGATAAAATTTTAATTCATGACGTTACAGCCATCAAAAATCATGGTAAGTCCATTTCTGAAATTTTATTATCGAATTTTTGTCTATCTATATTATCTGTTTAGGAGGCTTCAAAATAGGAAGGAGTAACGATATACATGAAAATTATTTTTTAGTACAATTGTTTCATTATGAATTCTCAGGACGGGTGTTCCTCAAGCAGGATTCTATGAATTTCCGGCAAAATCTCTCATGAAACTGGCTATTTCCGGGCGGAATACTATGGAACCGATCGTTTCCGTGCCGGATTGTTCGACCTGGGATTGTATGTTAAGTGTGAAAATATTGTAGAAGATGAAATATTTAATCAATTTTGGAAACATCGGATCGAAATCAATCTTCGATTTTGACTATAATCGTCAACAACGCTTATTTAGTAAAATAAATGGTATGAGTACATTTTGATTTATATTTTGTAATCGAGAGATATATTTATTTCCTCCTAGATGTTAATTCTTCTTCCGTGCTCTCAATACTTGCCGACGTAAGAAAAAAAGAAGAAGTAAGTTTATTTTGTCCAATGAGAAATGTAGAAAAAAAATTGTTTATCTTTAACGAGCATCGAGAAATATATCTCATTGACAATCGTCAGGTCATTATAGACACAAATGTCTATTTTATTCCTTTCTTTTCTCTGTATTCATCGAAGAATATAAAAATACCTGTAGAAAATAACAATTCATTTATTCATTTCGAAGATTATTATCAATATGGAATCGAAAATAAAGATTATCGCACAGAAATTACTTCTCATGAACGATTGGTCGGATATAATCAACGAAATGGTCAATGACGAAGTCTTCGACTGGAATGATATGATAATACACATTTATGATAACGTTGCAAATATAGAAAATAACGAAAAAAAAGAAGTTTTGGCAAAATTAATTGCGACAGTTTTGGTTAATAAAAATTCTTTATCTTGTATTGAACAACGAATAAACATGTTGGAAAATGATGGAATAGCTGCTCAAAAAAGGGTGTGGGTGTGGGTGTGAAAGATCACTTTATATCAACAAGGGATAAATTACACCCATGCCCTGTCCGCGATCTAATCAGTTTTTTTGTGTGACACATCTAAATATATCTTTCACATGACATAATTAGATAATTGTTTTAGAAAATTCAAATAAATCATCATATGCCACATTTGACCAGCAATACCTTGAGACTGAATACTCAGTAATTAAAAACGGATTTCTTCGTATTTATTATTTCAAATCATGTTCATGCAACTATGAATCGTGAGACTTGTTCTCTCCCGTTAGATAATATTTTAGTATTGTATAATAAGAATTTTGTTTTATAAATCATTTTTCACTCAAGGAAAATTTATTAATTACAGAATACCCGGTAACATACGCTTACCAATCAGCATTTAATATTTGGATCGATCTTCATAGCATGACCCGTAAGAGTATCTGTTAGATATAGCACATAATTATCTGTGATTAACAGATGAAAAAAGTATGAAGTTTTTAGACTGAAATTTCCAATTAAATTTCCAACAGTATCATAGATTTCAATACCATATTGTTCTAATACAAACCAACTTCGACCACATTCATCAATTATAACATGACTACCACCGGCCGTTGATCCTATGGATTCAGCATTGATTGTGACTATTTCCGTCCATGATGTGCTATCACTACTATTCGCAGTATAAGATAAAACTGCATTGTTATACCATACTGTTGCATAGAAGAAAGTGTCATTCACATACCATAAGCCATGTGGATTTGGATAATGAGTAACTGCTTTCTGATAAGCATATGAATAATTCCCTGGTGTACTATCTAATTGTTTAAAAAAAAGAAGAGCATTGTTGCCGAAAGAAGCAATTACCATTGTTTGTCCATTGTCAAGAAACATAATATCGCGCGGATTATTAATATAGGTTGAAGTGATTGTGTTAATCATCGTGAGATTGTTACTGTCTACCACTACGATAGTATTTGAATCCGTTCCGATGTAATAAGCATTGTTATTAAATGCTAAGCTCCAAATTTGTGCTGAAATTGGGATTGAAGTTCGATTGATTAGTGTGAGATTTGTCGCATTAAAACGATCGATATATGCTGGTGATCTTTCGATTGCGACTACATAGCCATGATTGTCAAGTGCAAGACAACGAGGATTCGGTATGCTGACATAAATTGGTGTAGCGTTGCGAAGTTTACTGAGCAAGAAATCGAGATCAGGCATACAACATTGATTGACATTGGGTAGTGTTTGTTGAGAAAAGTACAGACGAGCTCCTGGTGTGGATTGAATACGGTAAGTCAATGGAATAGTGGAAAACAACTGACACGTGTTGTTTGAAAAACAATTGAGAGCTGAATAGTAAATTAATGCTTTGCACAAACATTCTTCACAGGTCAAATTATTGACTATACTGCTATTCGAAGTTGAAACTGCAATGAGTGTGACATCCTCAATAAATGGAATACTAAAAGAATTCACAGAAATCACGACTGCCAAAATTACGAAGAGTTCAATCCTCAGCATTGTAAAATGATGGAAACAATGATTGAAAGTGCATTCTGATAGCACATTATTGATTGATCGTCGTTGATAGAAAAACAAATAAGATAGAATAATCAAAAAGATTCTTACACAAATAGAACGCCTGTTTTTTGCACTTGTGTTCTCGCTTTTATTGACTTAGCTTTCTGTGTGTGCGGAATGTTTACATCCGAAGAGAAAATCATCATTGATCGATTCTTTCTATGGAAATTTATTTAACTTCAGTTTTTTTGTCAACGGTTGAATGCAAGAAAGAACAACAGTGATGACGCACCATTTTTTTTTTGAAAGCTATCAAAATATAATAAGAATAAAGTAATTAATGTATCTCTTTTTCCAAGATCTCTGTATAGTGAGAATCTTTTCATTTGGCTTATGACTGATTTTGTTCTCATTTAAAATATTATTTTGATTATATGTTTTAGTATTGATGATAAAATATAAAGCCCACGAAATATATAATGCATGACTCGATGTTGAGTGGTATCTAAAATGATGAATATTTTATCTAACAGATTTTTCATATGTTAAAAGTTCTTTATTCCGCTTACTTCAGGTTCTAGCAAGAATATAAATAGTATCATGCTTGAAATTAATTATTTGATTAAGTGATTCAAGTGTCAAATAAGTTAATCAAGGGAATGAATATGTTTAAAACAACGAAAAACTCTTTGAATAAGTGATGAAAAATATGAATGACGAGCTTAAACAAATTCAAAACCGCCATCAATAATAAAATAATCTCCAAATCAAGTTGCTTGAGCTGAAGAACAAGAATTAAGTATATTTTGAGAATTATATTGGATTTCTAATGTACTGAATATTGATGCATAATAAGAAGATGCTAATCAACTGAAATCTGACACAGCAGCAACTGATTCTTGTCTTCTTTCCATTTGAAATCAACGACGTTCTCTTCTTGCTTGTTCATCAAATAAAAATAGATAATATTAATTTTATTTATTTCTCTTATAAAGATCACATTGATCTGAAGTGATTTATTAATGAAAAAGTTTTGTCAATATTTCGAAGTTATATTAGGTTTCAGTGAAGATTGAGTCCAACATTAATCTAACATTATAGATATCTGTAATGTCTCATAAAAGACTATAAGCTGTAACATTAGATCTGTCTCAGAGAAAAGAAAGCGAAATGATTTTCAACATTACAGGATGGGACTAAAAATAAAGTAATACAACAACCCAAAGCTTCTTGAATGCTAACTATAATAGTAAAGAAGAATAGATCCTTTGTATTTCGTTATTTTTCAGTTATAACGATAATCAGAAATCGGTTATTTGTAGTTTAAGTACATCTAAGATGATTGAGAGTACTATAACTAATTTTTTCCATTTTCATGTCTAAATCATAATTTGTACTATTTTATTAAAAAAGGGAGCCTATTTATGTGACAATGAGATACATTAATCAGTACTTTGTTGTGGTTTTCTTCGTCGAAATTACGTTAACTATATTTTGTTCAATTTGTACTTTGCCATACCAACACAATGTGCGTAATAAAATAACAGACGCATTATTGTATAAGCTGATTAGAAAATTAAAAAAATCTAATTTTAAACATACAAGAACTCTAAAAGTCCTTTAATCTCCCGTGCATATTATTATGATTTTATGTTCTTATTTTAATTGGAAATTTTAAATTGCTTTTTCCAGATCTTTCTATAATTGAGAAATATGATTTTTTTTCGTTTAATTCTATCAAATACTATACATATTTTGTATTCGTTATATTGTTCACGGTGATTTGTTATTAAATTGAACATATCGTTTTTTACACACATTTATTTCACTTCTATTCCTTTTCACATTAGAAAAATATATTTAGCAACAAAATCTATGATGAACATTTAATAGATTGCATTTAAATCAGCTTATAGATGGAAAGAACATAGTTTATGCAGATCATATTTTAATTAAAAAGAACGGCAGCAAAGAATTTTCACATATTCATTTCTTCACTTTATTATATTGTAATAATGAGCAATACGACACCATCAGCAGTAACCGAGACTACTACTACTACTATTTCCTCGTTGGACCTATATTTGTCTTTGATTCAAATTCCAGCGATTACTACACAATTCTATTTATGGGGTTATCTAATCACATTCTTACTCGGTTTCACAGGCAATACTCTTAGTTTGTTAACATTTTCTCGGTCAACATTAAGAAATATATCAACAGGATGTCTATTCATCATATTAGCTATTTCGGATACACTATATTTATTTATATCTATTATAGACTTTGCTGAATTTGGCCTTAAGGTAATGCATTCTCACTTATGTCTATCTTCTATTTAAAATATCACATAGGTTCGTCTCTATCATCGCATTGATTACGATCAATTATGTCGTTTTCGTATGTTTACAATTTGCGTATCTCAAGTGTATTCAGCATGGTTGTTGGTGATTATAACAAGTGATCGATGGATTCGTACAAGATTTCCATTTAAATCAAATTCAATATGCACACGGAAAAATGCTTTGTTGTTTGCATCTATAATTCTGATTGCAGTTATTGGTCTTCATTCACACATTTTATTACCATTTTTTGGCATGGTACTACCAGGAATACCCAGTTTAGCATGTGGAGCAAACGGAAACAATGCAGAATATGTGACATTCTACTATTATCAATGGACAATTATTCAGGTCAGTAAATTGTAGCATAAACATACGCAACAATTAGTGTTAAAAATTACATTAGAGTTCGAAAAGATATTATTGAAAAATAAATTTTGTTAATATACTTGGTAATGAGTCCACTATTTTTTTTGATTTATGAATTAATGATTAATGGCAATATGAATAACTGATTTTCTTTGTAGATAATCACAACTTCTCTTGGACCTGCTGTATTGATGATTATTATGGTCATGGATATATCTATTAAAATTCGTGCTCAAAAGAAACTAGTTGCTTCTCATTTGGAACCAATTAGTGGTTATCGATCGGCACGATCAGATAAACGCATTCATAATCAAATGATTTTACTCATGTTATCAACTATTGGCATTTTTTTTATTACAACTCTTCCGATAACCATAGACGATCTGGTTGCAGTTCACACAATTACTGACTTATCTGATTTATCACAACTTTTCATTATACGGACCATTTTAAACTGGCTTCAAAGTCTGAACTGTGCAGTAAGTTTGTTTTCTATGAATATATAAGACAGACTATTCTTGTTATTTTAGGTTAACTTTTATGTATATTGTCTTACTTCTACACTGTTTCGAAAAGAATTTACACAACTAGTGGGTATTATTCGTGGTCGACGTGAGCTGAGTCTGCAAGCTCAAACACACATGAGAACAATTCATGTAACACAGCCGCAGCAGCAGCATTAAATCCAAATGGTTAATGGAAGCCTTCTGTTCTATTTTTAGTGACATTTTAATTAATATAATACTCTTATAAATGTAGTAGCTTCGTATCCTAATCGATGTTATTTTGTTTTGTTGCTTCTTTATCACACCTTATAATCAATGCACTCGAATGTATTGCTATTAGAAGGAAGTATTTTATACTTTCCTTTCATTATAATTTCACTAAACAAGCTTTAAATAAATAAATAAATAAATAAATATTTGTCTTTTAATATTTCTTAACCATTGATCGTAAAATACTGCCAATTTGTTTCTATATTCGCTTTTCACAACTGCATACAAACAAAGAACCAGCAAATGTAGCAAACAAAGACAATATGATTGTATTTATACGCTTGACAGTAACTGTGAAATTCTAACTGATCTTGCATCATATGATATTAAGAAATCATAACGTTGATTTTTAATCATAAATTTCTTATTTTCTGATGTTCATCAATAAAGATAATACTATACTTCATAGGATGAAACACAAGGTTAAATAATATAGAATTCAAAGTTTCTAGATCATTAAATGATGATAGTAAATGAGGGTGTGGGTGTAGTTATTATAATGCTCTTCCTTTGTTATAATCTGGTACAACTTGCGACTTTTCAATGTGCTCATTGAACATAAGAGTTTTTTAAGTATTCATTACAAGTATTGAACTTATTATTTTGTAGATACCAGAACAATATCTCTTTTGTCTTTTCACATGATCAACCTTAAACTATCTTTAATATATAACTCATAAATTTCACCATCTCTGAGGTTTTTTTAGAGAGCCTGGTATCACATTACTACTGAATATTGAAATGGTAATTTTTATTTAAGAAGAAGAAAAGAATGAAGTTACATGAAAATAATTAATATGTCTTGTTTAAATGGTTTATAAATTATCTTTCTCAATGTATTACGAGTCATTTCTTTAATTTAGTTTATAACTAACTATAACATCATATTATTTAGAGATGAAGAATCATTTTAAAAATGACTTCATCTTAAATGTATCTAGTTCAAGTTTTTGGGTAATAATAATAATCAGTTTTAAACAGTTGTTGAATATTCTGATGTGTCTGTTGATTGGTATAATTTATCAGAGGAATGTTCTGGATGAATTATATTGGAACGTTTTTCCATGATACGTCGTATTCTATTGGCTAATGGTAATCCAACGAGTTTGATAACAATAAATATAAGTCCAAATAATTCCAAACAGACTATTGTAAAAAGAAGATTGTGAAAAATGATTTCTGCTTGTTTAGCAATAGGTTCTTGTTGATTTTTAATATAATAAGTTGTTTCTGAAATTGAAATTGAGAACGATGTTTTTAATAAACCATAGTACATATAATCATCATAGGTAAGAAAAAGATCTGAAGTACTGGTGAGACTGATCAGACTCCATAGGCCATTGTAATAGCTTGCTCCACCATCATAAAGTGAATCAGTCTCATTGATGACACGAATAAGTTGAAATTCAATATTTGGATCATAAGCCATTGTCTGATTGTTCATCAGGAATGGTTGAATGAAATTAAGCTCACGAACAAGATAATATATCTTGCTCGATGAATTACTTGTTTCGAGTTGTTGACCATAGATGCGAACTCTAAAACCACCAATTGATTTAGCATCATCAAAAACATAATTGAGACTGATTGTGTGTGACTGAAGAACAGTTGAAAGAGAGAGTATGGATCGATTATAACTGCAATTCGATGATATCACTTTCGAATAAGCATGAATGGTCTGTGTGATTTGTACAGTATCACATGTTTGTTGAGTATTGATAAAATCCATGGTAAGTGTGAATTGCTGTTCATCGAGTAAATCAAATATTGGTTCTTCTTCTTCATTACGAGGTGTAGAAAGAGATTGGAGATTTGTCTCAAATTTTGCATTACGAAGTGTTTCGTCACATGCGAATGTTGATGGTGACGTCGTTTCAATTGGATATTGATTTAGATAAGATTGACTAAAAGTGTAAGCAAATATCAATAAAACCATAAGAGCAAGAGATGCAGGTCCACCAATCCACAATTCTCCTTCATTGATAAGATCGGCGTGACGAAATATATGTTTAATTAAAACACGAGTATCGGCATGTTGTTTGGAGAATTTAAGAATACCCATAGCAAGAAGAATAAGCATTATAAAACCAGTCATCACCATTACCCAGAATATTGGTGATACAAGTAAACAATGAGATGTACTACCAAAAGTAAACATATTCTGAATAAGAATATCATCAAAAATAGTAGATTCAGGTGATTTTGGATAACTAAGTTCTTGAGAGACAAATGTAAGCATATCTGAATAAGTATCATTAGTGACTGAACCAAGTGGACAAAATGAATTGTCTCCATTGCAATTGTAAAGTGAACATTCAGTACTTCCTTCTTCTAAAGTCATTGTCCCCATCGTACATGGATAGCAAATGTAGACACCTATCCAATATTTATAAGTACCTCCTGGACAATAAACGAAATCAGAGAATGCAGGATTAATACCCATGGCTACGCTTGTCGTTGGATAATAACCTTCTGGAGCTTGTAACATAACATAAACCTGTCCAGTTGAATCAAGAACTACAAGATTGAGTGTTGACATAGCGATAGTAATCAAATGTTGATCAAGATCAACCCATAGAGGACATTGAACTGTAGGAAACATTGGCATAATAGGATTGTCTGAGATAAATTGATCCCAATAGAACCAGTAGATAGTCGAGCTAGACCATTGGTAAGGAAACGAATAAGCATTTCCAAGTAAAACAGGATATGGACCTCCATCTTCATCGCTCCATCCTAAACTTTGACCATAGCCACGTTGATACCCATTGGCACGAGCTGCTAATAATGTTAAATTTGTTGTCGTTATAGAAAACCAGAAGACAATATTGAAAGATGGCATACCAACAAGAACAGCTGAAGTATTATCATGAATAGACACACTCATGACATGTTTTCTAGTAAAACTGCCTGCATCTCTATTCGTTGTTGTAGCTTGCCATGAGTCATTCGATGGTATATATGGCCATGTATCAACAATTGTAAAGAAATTTATATTCATTTGTAGCATATAGATAATAGGTTCATATATGTTCTGTGTCCCATTAATAAAACCAGCGATTATAGCCACATAACTACTACTTACATCGACAGCATGTGGTGTAAAATTGGCAAAAGGCCATTGTGCTAAGAAATTAATGCTGTGTGTTTGTAAATCATAGCTGAATGCAAATTGACTCGAAAATCCATACGCTATTTGACCTGATGGATCAATACTGTGTACAAAAAATTCATCGTGTCCAAATGATGAAAAATAGTACATATTGTATGTAGTTTCACAGGATGAGTTCACAAGAAGATGTCCAACGAACGGATATGGTGATGATGAATTATCTGTGTTTTCACCAATAAAAACAACGGATGCATCATAAGAGACTACTTTCGGTACATCTATACTATAGATAAAATTCATATCACCTGTAGCAAGACCTGGATAATCAATTTGGCATGGCGACGATAAATTAGATGGATTGAATGGAGCGAACTGTAGAATAAACTGAGCATCGTTATTACGTGCTTGCACCACGACTCCATCATTAGTTGCCAATTTTACACCATATGCATCGAAACTATTCCAATTATCTTCAGTAAATTTATACGATAAGACGAATTGTGTAAGTATTAAAACAAGCAATTGCTGAAGAAGCATATTGAGTCAGAACGATAGCTAATGTTCGTGTTTCTATTGTTTTAAAAAAGAAATAATGAACGTTAGTGCTCAATGTATGCTGATTTTTATTCTTACCTCTGTCGCTTGTACGGGAATATATTATTTTATTTACTTTTAATTTTATTTTGAAATTAATAACAAACAAAGAATAAGAGATTAAATTTACTATTTATAAGAAAAATAATTGATTTTTATTATGAAGAGTATTATCAAGTTCGAATATAACATTAGTTTCCAGGACATTTTAGACTACTGATGTTTCAATCACATTATGAAAAATCTTGCTACACCTGATTGTAATCAAGTGTACATGAGCGAGTTCTTTATAGCTGAATTGAGTAAATATTATTTTATTTAGACAAAGTGCGATGAATTCACTTATTAAGACGGTGAGATGCGTGTTCTTATACATCTAGGGTTGAATATGAATACAAGACGCTTCTGTGGACTAATTTCATATACAAAATTCTTACTTTAAAGAGCCTTTTTTTATTTGTCCAATTTATGTCGTTACGATTAGATCTTTCTACTATGCACATATTTTAAAAATGAAAAATGAAAGAGATACAATGTTTTTTTAAATATCTTTTAAGAGAACAATGGATACCTAAATTCATTTGATTTCTCCAGTTCCGTACGTGTCTTTAAAATGGCTCTATATAAAATTTCTCATTATATTCAATAACAAATAATTGACAAGTAACGTTCATCGAAACTCGATTCACTTGGCTCCGGACTATCGCGATCTGCATACGAATATAACTATATTTAGATGTGAATGAGAGTTGATCAATATTAATTTCGGCTTTCAGTACGAAATCAAATTGAATTTCTACTTTTTATAAAATCAAGCATTCTCTAAAAGTTTGATATTTAATGAACGAATATTAAACTTTGATATATGATGAATGGGTAATGAAGTTTGATGTTTGATAAATAAATAATAAAATTTGATATTTAATAAATAAATAATGAAGTTTGATATTTAACGAACGAATAATAAAGTTTGAACTCTTTTTCCTACATGCACTATAATAATATAAAATTTGTCATTATATTGAATAACAAATAATAGAAATCATCATAATAGAAAATTAAAATTGTTATTTATTTGAAAAAAAAATCGTCCGTTGGTAAATACAACGTTCGGAGAAAAAGTCATGAGATACAAAATAAATAAAAATTTATTAAAAAAAAAAGAGCGTGATGCAATCAATTCATAACAACTTTTGATTTAGATGTAAAGAAAATAACTAGGTCACAAGCTAATTTTACACTTGAATTTGTGTTTTCTAACAAAAATATAAGTGTACTATATGAAAATATATCTGAGTGACTTGAACTATAGAAATTTGTTTAACTAATTTCTTCAAAATAGTCAGTTGGGAATGAAACTAGTAATCAGAAAATTTCAATCGAATAAAATCATTTAGATACATAACTAATACAATAGTTAAATTAAGTAATATCGAAAGATAATTTACGACGTTTTGGTTTTAATATAGATATTATTGAAGAATGAATTTTATATGAATCATCTGTTGTTGTATTTTCATCTTCTCTTACATATTACTCCATCTAAGACAAATCCATTATGGAAATAAAGGTTAGAATATGAATAATACTGTGTCCACAAGAATCTAATATAGGAAATGAAATCTATCTTCAGATTTCAATGACTTCTATTGAAATCATTTTTTTTATTTTTTAATTGATCTATCGAAATCATACAAAACTATAAGTTCATTTTATTGAAAGAACAAATACGGGTAGATTCCTGTGAACTAGTAGATAATATTATCATTCATTTGACTTCACCGTTTTCATTTTCATCTTCATCTTCATCTTCATCTTCAATCTCATCTGCCTTTTCACCATTTTCTTCTACTCGTGTAGCAATTTTTCTTTTTGGTACATAACGAAATGCTTTTATCCAATTATTATTTGTATGTTTTAATGTTAACAAAATATTATAAACTTCATGAAATGCTAATGCTTTACTTGATGATGTATGAAATCTAGATATAAAAATGTTAATATACATATAAGAATAAAAAACTTCTTTTAACTTACGTCAGATATTTTTCTAATGGTAATTTTTCATGACGAATATTTTGTCTCACGGCTTTTTCATATGTTAAAGGTTCTTTATTTTGATCATCATAAATTCCTCCAACAATATAAACAGCATTATGATCAAAATGTGTCATTACATTTGGTGAATCAGGTGTTAAATAAACTAAACGATCTTTATCAAATAAATCAATATATTGATCTCTTGTTCCTTGAAAATAAGTTGAATGTTCATGTGGTAACGGATGACGTGATGTTTGAAAATTATCTGATAAATCACTTATTATAATATATGCCGGTGAATGAAAACGATCAATATTTTTAAAACAACGAAATACTCTTTGAATAAGTGCTGAAAAATATGAATGTCGATTATGAGCATATTCAAAACCACCATCAACAACAAAAAAATCTCCTAATCGAGCAGCTCTTGATAATGAATAAAGATCAAACAAACGTTGAGGATTAAATTTCGTTTCTAATGTAGCAAATATTGTTTTATGATGAAGAGATTCATATTGATTAGGATCTGACATAGTTGCTACCATTTCTTTTCTTTTTTCCATTCGTGATCGAAGACGTTCTTTTCGTACTTCTTCATCATATAAATATCTTAAAATAGAAATATGTAAATATTATTTTTAGTTTTTCTCTTTTTTGATTATTGATTTTACTCATAAAAATCACGTCGAACATCAAGTGATTTAACAAGAAAAAGTCTTTGCCAATATTTTAGACTTAGATCAGATTTTGGTGTTGGTTGAGCCCAATATTGATTTAACCAAGACATTTCTTCACGAAGAATATTTTTCTTTAATTCATCATCATTAATTTCATTAAGTGATTGAGTTACATGACGAAGAAGTGTCCATCGAAGTACAGAAATAGGTGTTGAACGTTTTGTTTTTGTATTTACTATTTGTTGCCATCCACGATGACGAATAAGCATCTTTTTTTTTATGCTTCTTTTAATTCCTTTTTTTATTATATTTAACTATCTATATTGAAAATTTTCTTCTTTCTATTGGATAATCAAATAAACCAATGAATATAGTTTGTCAATAGTTTAAAAGAAAAATCATCTGATCTGGAAGTCGAATCATAAATAAAATGATACTCAACTAGTAAACAATATGTATGAGTCAACTCGTTTTTTGTATTCTGAAGTGGTAAAAGAAAAAAAAAATTCTTGTTGTTTTGTTATTTGTTTAAAGTCATTGTCGAAGTGAAAATATATTTACAGCAGAATTAAATAATGGAATCAATTCATTTTCTTTTTTTTTGTTTTTAGATGATGTTTTTATTTTTAATGTGTAAGTTTGATGGTAAAATAATTATTTGAAATTGATGTCAGATAAACAAGAAATCTCATCTGCTAAAGAAAAAGAAGATGTCAGATGAACTAAACTCATTATCAAATCCTATTGCTGGAAATCAAGCTTTGCTTGAAAATCAATCTGAAGTAATTCATTGTTTTTTTTATTATCGTAATTTTATTTTATTTTTTTGTCTTAAAGAATGAAACAAGAGATCTGGCTGTATGTGTTGAAGGTGCATGGAAAAATTATGGTTACTGGTGGAAATCTATGACAGCTTTACGTGATGTTACTCTTCATGTACCAACGGGAAATATGTAAATAATTTTATTTAAAAGAGATATTTTATAATAAATAAATAAATAATTGAAATTTTAGATATGGTTTATTAGGTCCATCTGGATGTGGTAAAACAACTTTATTAAGATGTATTGTTGGTCGTTTACAATTAAATCGTGGTGAAGTTACTGTACTTGGTCAACGACCTGGTAGTCGTGGCCATGAAGTACCTGGACGAGCTGTTGGTTTTATGCCACAAGAAACCGCACTTTATAAAGATTTTTCAATATCTGAAATGCTTCATTATTTTGGTCATCTTCATGATATGAATAGAAAAGATATTTTATCACGAGAAAAATTTCTTCTTTCATTTCTTGATTTACCTTCGCGTTCAAAAAAAATCTGTCAATTAAGGTTTGAAATAAAAAAATATTTCAATATAATTATTATATATATTTATTTTTATTTTGACAATAAAGTGGTGGTCAACAACGTCGTGTATCTTTAGCATGTGCATTATTACAACAACCACAATTATTACTTCTCGATGAACCAACTGTTGGAGTTGATCCACTTCTTAGAGAAAAGTTTGTATTTTATTTTTAGAATTTATTTAAAATATTTTTGTTTTTTTTTCTGCTTTCATTAGAATTTGGAGTCATCTTATTCATATATCACAAACAAGTCGAACAACAATTATTATAACAACTCATTATATTGAAGAAGCAAGAAAAGCTAATCGAGTAAATAAATATTTTGTTGTTTTTTTTGTTTATTGAATAAAGAAATTTTATTTTTAGGTTGGTCTTATGCGAAGTGGTCGAATGTTAGCTGAAGATGAACCATCACGCTTATTAACTATATATAACCAAACGGTTTGTTATTTTTTATTTAATTAAAATAATTGATTATCATAAAGAAGAAAATTATATTTTTAGAGCTTAGAAAATGTATTTCTTCATTTATGTCTTGAAGATCAAAATCGTCTTCAACCAAATCTCATGAACAGTACTAATGAAAATGATCAGACTAATACTACTGTCTCTATTAATAACCAAGATATACCTCCTCCTGATGTAATCAATGGTGAAACCCCTCATTCACAAATCAGAAGAAAAGAACTAGTAAAAAATCGTAAGTTTAGACAAAAAAACAATAATTATGAAATAAAATATATATATATATATATATATTCTTTTTGTTTCAGCGGTACTACGCGCAAAACGTGCTGCAGTTGATTGTTGTATTTGTCCTAAAGCACATAAAATTTATGCATCAATGGTAAAAGATTTAACAATGATTAAAAGGAGTATTGGGTAAATATTGTATTTAATATTAATTTTAATTGACTTTTGTTTTTATATTTAGCTTTTTAATTTTTCAATTTTTTATACCTGTTGTACAAATTTCTCTTTTCTGTCTTTGTATTGGTCGTAAGTAGAGTTTGATTTTGTTTATATATTTGTTTTTAATTTATTCATATTATTTTTAGGCGATCCTCAACATGTTCCTATGGCACTTTTTAATAGTGAAGCAATAAATGGGTTTCCAACAGGAAATTTAAGTTTAGAACTTTTAAATAAAATAAATTCTGAACAAGTTCATTTTGTAAGAAAATTGATTTAGTTTTTTTTGCTTTAAAATAAATTTTATTTCGATATTTCTTCCTAGACACCATTCAATGATTTTACTAATGCTATGGATGCAGTTAAACAAGGTCATTATTGGGGTGTTGCTGTTTTTAGATATAATTTTTCACAAGCAATTATAAATAAGTCTGTTTTATTTTATTTTTACTTAACTCTGATTTTCATTTATTTTATTTTAAAGATTAATCTTTGCAAAAACAGATCCAGCAACTTTAAATGCATCATCTATTCATCTTTATCTTGATATGACGAGTAAGGAAATTCTAACAAAAGCGAATTTTGTGTTTTTTTTCTCGATAAGTTATTGATAGAATATAACTGAAAGAAAATGATTATTCTATTTTTATTCTGAGATCAATAAAGAAAGAAGATAGTATAACCAAGTACATTCTTAATTTCCTGAATACATGATACTATTCGATGCTTTACAGAATTTAAAATACGTCCTTTATTTAAAATTACTGTTTATCCTATATCAAGTTCTCGACAACTGAGACTAATGTTTTTTTTTACAGGGAGAAATTACTGCCTTGAATATAGTTATATGATATCTCTATGATTCTTTCTACTATTTATATTTATTAGAAAGATAAACAATAAAATTAAAATTCTTCGAAATACTTATATTAGAATAATGGAATTTGGATTTGATGAAAAAATGTTCTTCTCGCAATTATTTATTTAGTCAAATTATCTTGAGATTCGTGTATTTTATTGCATAGATACATTCAAAATTAATATGTAGGATAGGAGCAAAATCAGCATAAGTTATACTATGTTCTAGTGCCTATACAATTCTTTTTTATACTATAGATAATAAAATATTGAAATTATAACATTTTCTTTTATATTAAGATCAACAAGTATCATTTGTAATGCAAAATGTCATATTAACTAGCACTCAATTATTTTTAAAAGATGTTTTATCACATCATAAAGTTGACCCAGCATTAGCTGATCCTCCAGTTATAGTGGAAATCCCAGTTTATGGAGCAAAAGGTCAAAAATTTCTAAATTTTGCTGCACCAGGAATGATGATATCGATAATATTTTTCTTGGCAATTGGTTTAACAGCACTAATATTTGTAGTTGAAAAAAAAGAAGGTCTTTTGGAACGAAGTTGGATTGCTGGTGTTACAACTGTTGAAGTTATGCTTGCTCATATAATTGTCAAATTTTTTATACAATTTATTCAAATTATTTTAATGATTATTTTTGCTGATGTTATTTTTCAAGTTAGTTTTTACAATTTAAATTTATTTTTAATCTATGTTTTATTTAAAGGTAAAAATTGAAGGACCTGTTATATTAGCAATGGCATTAATATTTCTTCAAGGTATTTGCGGAATGAGTTATGGTAAATAAAAAAAAAAGAATTGAAATAAAAATTAACTATTATTTTTTTGATAAAGGTTTATTAATATCTGCAATGTGTGAACAAGAAGTTGAAGTAATGGAAGTAGCATTAGGAAGTGTTTTTCCAATATTACTTAGTTCAGGTTAATTCTTATCTTTTTTTTTTTTGAATAATTTATTTTTTAATGCAATTATTGATTTGTTTATATTAGGTGTTATATGGCCAGCAGAAGGAATGCCGCCGATAATGCGATTTCTTAGTAATTTTACACCACTTACACACGTCGTGGAAGCTATGCGGTGTATTGTTTCTCGAGGTATGATTAATTTTATACAAAAAAAAGAAAAGTATTTCTTATATATGTTTAATTGAATTTTAGCATGGACATTGGTTTATTTTAAAGTATGGTTTGGATTTGTCATCTCTGGTGCATGGACGTGTGGCTTTTTTACTTTAGCTGCTATACTCTTTGCTCTTCGTAAATAAATTCAATCTAGTCTTTTCTATTTGTTTTACTTTTCTTTGTGTCGTCGTCGTCGTTGTCCTTGTCATTTTTGTATTGAATTTAATTAAAATGAATTTTAAATATTTAAAATAATAAATTTTTGAAAAACTAACATATGTTTTGTGATAAAAAGATTAATAATCAAGCTAAATACAAACATTAAAAAATCAGCTTCAAAGTGGACACATAGATTAACTGATACTGATGTCGAATAAGAGTTCAAATATATTTTACAAATATTGACTAATTAATACAATGATTATGTTTATATAGACAGTTTTCTTTCGTTCATATCTATGAATTTAGATACACGTACTAACTATTGAATGATAAATAACAGTGTTAGTTGTAGAATTGAATTCAGGTATGTCATGTTTAATTAAGTTTTTAAAATGTTAGACTGTAATTGATTCTTTCTTTCGTTGGAAGTACAATGAATTTGCATAAATAGACTTTGTCAACATGAAAAAAGTAATTGTACATAAATAAATAGATCATTTGAAATGCAATTGTCTGAATATAATCAATAGAAATTACTTTTTATTAGAAGTAAGCAAAGAACAGGAAGAAATTTTTTATGCATATCAGCACTCTTTCGTCTTTGCTTTAAAACTATCTGCTGTCATTCCAGTGTGTTCTGTAAAGGCTAACAATAATTTTTAGCTAAACAGTTAATAGTATGAACATATGTAAATGATTTTAGTAGATAAGTTCTCAACTGTCAAGAATATGTTGTTAAAATATTGCTATTTCTTATGATAATAGTCGTGAAAATGTGAGAGAAGATATAGAGGTATAGAATTATCGTTGGAATTACAAACACACATGAAATTCAGTGAGACT